TGACCTCTTTTAATATGTGGTGGTTTTAATCTCTTACCTAGGTATGTTCAAGGAACTGACAGTGATTCAAATAACTTTCAATTCTCTACCTGAATCTACTATGTTCCCTGCACTGTCCAGTATGGTAGCCGCTAGGCCAATGCAGCTGTTTAACTTACATTTAAATTAGTTACCATTGAAGTAAAACAAAAATCAAGTTCCTCGTGTCACACCAGCCTCGTTTCGTGTGCTCACCAATCATACGTGGCTAATCCTGCTGCATTGAGCGGCACACAGATACCGCATTGCCGTCGGAGCAGAGTGCTCTATTGGGCAGGACCGATGTGGACAGGTGCTGTTTCAACTGCTTTTGAAAAGAACCTGACGTTTGGAATGAGATGAGGAGTCTTCAGCTCTTGCCTCCCCGATTGCTACCTGACCATCAGCAGTTTCCTTTCTGACTTTCCACCCTCTTGTCTGCAAAATAGATTTGTAGGGACCAATGAAACCACTGTGAAGGAGAGTTGCTGGCACGCAGCCAGAAGTGGTATTATTATTACTCCTTCAGTAATAGTGGCTCTAGAGCATTGCCCACAGAGATCTGCACTTCCGAGTCCTGTTCCTTATGATTGCACGTTTGGGGGTTTTGCCAGTGTCCAAACATGAAACACAGCCTGTTCTGAGAGGGCTCTGATGACCTCAGTTTCTTGTCAGAGACTGTGTCCCCACTGCCGGTCCTCACTTCTGAGCAATCCCAGTGCATTTTACGTTTCTCCTTGATTTGCAACCCAGTCTTATTTTATTTTGTTGTGTTTGCATAAGAACAAAAAATAAAAAAATAATGTTATAGTAACAGAAAAATAATTGGAAAGGTAACTCTAAAAATTATGAAATGTGTACTAATACTCAACAACTATTTTTTAATCTTGGTTATTCTGTTCATCATGACTATTAATATGGATCTGGGAAGCAGGGCTATAGTATGTGACAAATTGCTTCATAAGCCTGATCCATTTCTGCACATTTTTATTAAAATTTGTTTTCAAAAATGGAAAAGCCAAATTGCCAGACGATTACATCGCCTTTGAAGTTTAGAAATGTAATTTATGTTATTAGTTTTGGGTATTTCACTTTAATAGGTGAAGGAAAACTGTATGAGACACTGCTGTTTTCATTATCTGAAAATAAAACTGGAGCAGAGGCAGTAATTGAACATGTTCCCCAAACTTATATGCTAATAGTTGAACCTTGAGACTGGAATTCAGACTATCTATTAGAGCAAAGCTTTGCAGGTTATTGTTTCTAGAAGTGGATCATGGAGATTGGAATAAAATGAGAATCATTTGCTTGAAGAATATAATAGTAGGCAGTGTTCAATGTGTAGTTAAACTTTGAAGAGAAAGGAATGTTTATAATATAATGTTTATATATATAATCATATATATTTTAGTATAATCATTATAAAAATAGAAAAAGCTCAGAGTAGAAGATAATTTTTCCTGATAAAACTGATACACTAATTACAATGCTTAGTTTTCACTTTATTTAGTACTTGGTTGTACACTGTAATATATATACAGTACACGTATAGATATATAGGGGTGTGTGAAAGTAAATGGTGCATGTATGGATACTGGCTTCACTTTTCTGAGGAAATTTTTAAAAAACATAACCTTAGGCATGTCAGAGAACCTGGAAATTGGGTGTCGGTCAGTTACATGATCTTCAGAGCTAAATATTGACCATTTGTGGTGAGAGAAACAGCTTTTGCTCTGCCCAGCTTCTGTTCAGTTCCAAGTCTAAAGAGAGCTGCACAGTGACCGGATGGGTTAAGTGGCATGTGTTAGTGCGAAGTAGAGTTGAGTCTTTCCTGGCTGCTAAGGAGGCTTAGGGCTCCATTTATCTTCTCATTGAGGAGCTATAGACAAGGAACTGGGCTTGCAACACCATGTTTGCCTTTCTGTCATTTCCTGTGTGTTCTGGACAATCTGCTTAAAAAAACAATGGCTTTTCTTCAGGGCTGGGGACTGTCATAGAGGGAGATAAATTTTGGGAAAGACCTCCAGCCAGATTTAGGGAATGGCAATATATTATAAATGGTAGAGTAAGGTGTAAAAACGTTTTCTACACAGACAGATTGAGGCCCAGGGCCTGCTTTTAGAGAATTAAACTATTTAGAAGCATTTTCACCACATATGAGGAAGTGGGTTGACCTTGCGAAGAGGGTGGAACCGGGGAGCTTTTATCAATTCAGCACCTCAAGATTTAGTAAAGTCCAGCCCTGCGAATTATTTTGTCACAAAGTAATTGTGAGAAACGTCTTTGCCATTTTGCATCTTTTTCTTTATTGCACCCTATGATTCATTGCAAAAATTAAATATTTTACCTCTCAAATTTGGCTATAATTGGAGTTGGCCAAGTTAATGAATTAGTTCTTCAATGTGTGTTTTCATGCATGTTTATTATTTTGTTTATACACTTTAAGTTCTTTAAAATTAACATTATGATACAGTTAAATACATAGTACAGTTTTTAGTTTACAACATGTCATGAACAGAAAATGGGAAGTATTTACTCATTTTGTCAAACAAAATGAATTTTATTATGGCAATAAATTTCTTTAAAGGGTTGGGGCTAAACATATAATTGATGTTTAAAGTATGTTTATGTATATATACAGGAAAGGCAAACAAAATCATGTGGTCCTCACATTCTCCAATTGTTTATATTCAGTACTATTGAAGCTGATAATGGGATACCATGTACCTTAGCCTTAGAAGTACAAACAAATGATCATAAAGTGTGTTCTAAATAAGTGAAATGTATAATACATTTGTCATTCTTCCAAATAAATGTCACATGTTCTTTTTATGCTTTCTTGTTTTGTTCTGAATTTTTGTATAAAAGATTTAAATCAAGCTGATGAAATCATTTCAGTACCATAAGGGGGAAGCGAGAAAGAGAGGATTAGCTCATCAGGCAGGATGAGTTAGGTCATGGTTTATCCGACCATAATTCAAGGGCTCCGTTCTCTGAGGCTGGAAGTTATGGTCATGTCAACGGTCAGCGCCAAAATGCCTTTTATCCTAAGTCGAAACTGCTATTCCTGCAGCTAGCGAAGCTTTAGTCGGTCAATTAGAAATAGTAAGGTGATTCTTTTAAAGCTTAGGATTGTCTTCAATTCTTTGCCTTTTTTGGCTTCTAAAATGACTATATTAGCTTGTGTTAGATATACAAGGACACTTCTGTTAAGAAGAAAAATCAATTTTTTAAATATAGTACATATATATTTCAATAACTATAAATAGAAGTCAGAGTTAATGTGGAACATAGAGATGCTTTTGAAATAAGTAAGACTTTGGTAAAGAAGATGAAGGAAAGATATAAAAGTATTTTTCAGACTTGGATAGAGAAACATTAGTGGATAATGAATTTAACTTAGAGGGTCTTTGATAAAACTTTAAGAATGAAATGAAATAGAAGAAAATTAGGATAGAATCACATAGAAAGGGAAATATTAGGCCAGTTATGAAACTTACTAATTAATGATGTGTCTGTGTATGTATTAAAGGATCATCCCGGATTAAGATGTAGCTTTTTTTCATACTTCTTACTATTGGCATTGAGCCAGTCTGTAAACCATCAGTGTAGAAAAAAGAGGGTGGATTTTCTAGCTATGAAACTCTGGGAAAGCAATCAGTACTCTGGGTAAGCCTGCTTCTCATCTGTACAATGGGAGTAATACAATCTACCTCACAGGCTTAACGTGACAATTAAGTGAGATGATACACGTTGAAGCCCTCAGCGTGGCTCGATAAATGGTACCTTTTATTGGTAATCGCATTGTAAATGATAAAGCTAATTTATAACTTTTAGTAAAACATAAAATAATATGCTGGCTGTCTTGAGGTGGCTGGAGGAGATCTTAGGTATTGAATCAAAGTCACACAGCAAAGGAAATAGAACCGGGCAAGAGAGATGACCAGGCGGATCTGCACTAAGGGAGGGCCGGCTGGTAGTACTTACTGCCTTTGGTTGGGGTTTTTCCCTCTGTTCCAGTAACTGCTGGTTGACTAGGAGCACAGTAGCCACTCAGCCCATGAGCCATCTCACCCAAACACCTGTTAAGTTGCCAAACAAACTTCAAAGAATAATTGGGTTTCACCTTCAGGCCTCATGCTGTGCATGGGACCTGGTTTCGGAGGCTTCAGAGTAAGATGGAACTAAGCCTTTACCGTGAATGGGCTTCAGGTTGGTTATCACGGGCCAGATAGTCTGCAGTCCTCAGCTGTTGCGAACGGGCATGAAAGTTCTTCGCCTTGTCTTGGAACAGGCGCGGTGAATGGGTTTTAGAAATTAAGCATGGACCGTATAAAAATCAAACTACAGTCGTGTTGTTACCTCCCTAACGGCATCTCTGTTGTGTGTATCCGGATTTTATGTTCCCTTTCTCTCTTCCTCAAGGGCAGATTCCTTTACGACAAAAAGGATGTCTTCTTCTTGGCGCTGGGAAATATTTGGCATAAATGTTTCTATGGATGAATGAGTCCTGATTATCAACATAGAAATAATACTGGGACAGAGCCACATTTCTTGTTCTGTTGGGTGTTTTTTTTCTTTTCTTCATAAACAGCCCCTTTTCCGTATCTCCCCACCTGATGTATCGCTGGCACTTCCTAAAGCAGGGAAACGTGGGATAGGAACGTGGTTCCTGGTACGCTCAGATCTGCCCACCAACTCACCCCGGGCAATAGGATCCTGACCCTAAAAGCCTCCATTAGGCAGCAAGAGTGGTCCCCGTGTCCTCAGATCCTAAGGAACTCCGTAGTTTACAACAGTCGCAGAATATGTGTGATTCTGCTACACTGGGTTCCGGAGCGCGGTTACCCTGTGCGCGGAAATGTATCGCTCTCCGCCTGGTCTGTGCTGTAACGCCCTGTTTTCTTTGTTGCTGCTTTTTTGTCTCAGAACACTGTGCGTGTTTTTAAGATTATAAAGGCAAATGTTTTTTTTTTTTTCAGGTCTGAGAATGAATAAAGGTGCCATCACCCCTCCTCGCAGTTCTCCTGCAAACACGTGCTCCCCAGAAGTGATCCACCTGAAGGACATTGTCTGTTACCTGTCCCTCCTTGAAAGGGGAAGACCTGAGGATAAACTCGAGTGTATGTTTCTCCTTTAGTTTTCTTGTCACAGTTGGGGTTAGGGAAAGGGACTGAGTGTTGGTAAGCTTAAAGTTGCCCCTGCTGTGGTTATCTAAATGTTCTGTTAAGTGACCTTAATGAATAATAAAAATCCCTTCGATTGAAAAAATCGAAGTAGATGAATACTTGATTGATTTCAGGTTATTTATTAAGTTTTATTGATTACTGAACTTGTTTATCGAATGACTTTTTTAAAAAATGTTGCTCACTTTGGTAACAAGATGATATTGGAAAGTATCCTTTGAGTTGTTTTGAAAAAGAAAAACCCACACATTTATTTCTAGTGTATGAGGAGGTGTTCCTATTAGTCAGCAAGGGGGCTCACAGTAGGCATGGTGCGTGAGCCTTTCTCCCTGGGAAATGTTTCTTAAATGCTTTAGACCCAACATTTCCTTTGGTAGGAACAACTGATTTCTCAAATGCCAAACATCAGAATTTCATTTACGGACGTTCACTCTGGATATTATCAGTAATTAAGCAATAGCTCCTGTTTGTTTCTTCTACAATGTGTAAGAGATTTCAGGTAGAAAATTTCTCTCTGAACAGAAATAATTGTTCTCTAATCAAATACAGTGCTTGAGCTCTCTCTGGTGGCAAACTCGACTCACTGCAATGCAAGAAAATATTTCTTAATCGTCAACTCTAAGCCTAGGCGATCGTTTATTTAGAGATCTATTCTGTCTCCAAAGTCCTTGCTAAATACCGAGCTGATGCTTTGTTCAATAATCTGATTAACTTGATTATATTGAATATTATTAAAAGGAATTAAAAATTTTGCCACTGAAAGAATAATGAGTATAATGAATCTTAAATGTGACATTTCTAAAGCCAATACAGTATAGAACATTGTGATGTCTCAGAGTCATGATTAGGAAGTGTGTTTAATTAAATTGAATAGTAACTTGTTGATAATATTTCTCTTACTAATAAAGAATTTTCTATACCATAATTATTTGAGTCACATCTGCTTATGAATAAGCTATAGGAACATTATTCTTTAAATAAATATGTATTATTCCTAAATGTTGAATATTTGCATTTCAAAATTTATTTGTATTCTTAAGAACTTACAAAAATCTCTCTCCTTCCAAAATAAATATTAATGTTCAGTGAATTGCCATTGAAGTTCCAGCCAGAGAAAAAGTTTGCTCAGGTGTTATCAGGACCATGTCGATGATGATTTTAAAAATACATAGGCGTTTTCCCCCACCTCCACTTCTGAGACTGAATGAAGGCACCATCAGGCCTCCCCAACATGCTCTTTGTGTTGCAGTTTAATTATTTTTAGGTCAACTGGAAGTATTTTTTTAAAGCCAGAATTCCTAAGAGGCATGCTTTTAAGTTCTCAATTTGAGTCTATGAATCAACAGTCTTTGTCCACACTCACAGACAGAACGTTGATCCACAAATCATTCAGAAACACTTGAGGGATCACATCAAACCTGACCTTCTCCTTACCTCTCACCAGTGTTATCACCCCCTTCCATCTGCTCTGTCTTTGTATTTTCCAGCTCTTTTTAAAGCTTACATCAGATTTAATTGTATTGCCCGTTTTCCTTAAACATTTTTTCAGACTCTTTGCAGAAGCAGACTTGTTATGGCCTGGTACTATTATCGTGATTTTCACCAGAGCCTTCAAAGTAAATGAACTTCAACCTCAGAAGCCATACCTATGTTCCAGCTATACCCTAGAGCTCTTCTCTGCTGCCTTCTGCTTTGGAGGACCTTAACCTGGTCCTTCATATCTGGAGCTTGCATGTGTTTTTAAAAAAAATAAATTGTTGTTAATCATCACCCAAGGATATTTTTCTATTGACTTTAGAGAGAGTATAAGGGAGGGAAGGAGACACACACACAGAGCGAGAGAGAGAGAGCAAGAGAGAGAGAGAAACATCGATGTGAGAGAGTAACGTCAACTGGTTGCCTTCCACGCCCCCGGACCAGGGCCAGGGATAGAGCCTGCAATCCAGGCATGTGCCCCCCAGGATCCTTTGGTATGCAGGACCACGCTCTAACCACTGCGCCACACCAGCCACGGCTTGCATTTGTTTTTAAAGGCATGTGCACTACTATACACTTTTATCTTCCTAAACTTGCAAATTTATAGACTTCTACCATTCAAGTATTCTTTTATAGTTATAGGTTTAAAAAAATTTTTCAGTAAGACTTTAGAGAAATTGAATGGTTATTAATTTAATAGATACTTATTTCCAAAATAGTTGTGACTTATTAAACACGATATAAGGTATAGAAAAGAAGAAAAGTAATTAAAATTAACACAGAAATCCACATGATGAAGCACTTTTGCCAATGAATGCTCAGTTTGGATCTCGATTTCCCTAATTAAATGCATCCCAGCTTTGATATTTACTATCTGAGTGACCTGGGCACATTTTTCAAAACCTCTTTATGCCTCAGTTTTTCCCAACTGTAAAATTGGAATCATAATAATGTATCTCTTATGTTTGCTATGAGGATTAAATGAACTAATATTGCCCTGGGTGTGGCTCAGTTGTTTGTATGTCATCTCATGCACCAAAAGGTTGCCGGTTCAATTTCCAGTCAGGGCACATGCCTGGGTTTCGGGCTCAATCCCCAGTAGAGGGTGTGCAGGCAGTCTTGCTCTCACATGGATGTTTCTCTCTCCCTCTCCCTCTCCTTTACTCTCTAAAAAAATCAATAATAAAATAATGTTTAAATGAACTAATATTTGCTTGCATAAATTCCTTCACATTTTTTAGTTTACATAATTGTGAAGTGAAATAAAAGTGAGTTCAGAATTCTTTTCCCTTAACCATTTCGCTTTTTGGCCTCCCACCCCTTCAAATATAGACTGACCCCATAATCCGTGATGTCAACCATTCTTTCATACTTAGTTTCAGGCACCCAGTATATTGGCACATATACTGAGGTGACACAGATTTGTAAAATTATCTAAATATAATTCTGTGGATTAACTTCAACTGGTCTTCAGTGTTCCTCTGGTCATCAATGTCTGTTAGTTAAATGTTAATCCTGATGCTTTATTTCTTCAAACACTTTCCCGTTTAATCATCTCCTCACATATAATGTTCAAATTCTTATAACTTCCTCTCACGTTACCTAAAATTTGTCAACATCTAAACCTATTTTCTCTTTCTCTTCTGACTCGGGATTTATAAGTGCCCTTCTGATAGCTCTCTACTGAGTAATACACAAAACTACACCTTTAACTTGGCATCCGTAAACTCACCTGGCTCCACAATTTGACCCCAACCTACCTGGCCAGTCTTGCATTTGGCCTTGACTTGCCCTCACATGCGCAAATGACATCCCAGTCACATGGATTTACTTTTCAGTCATCAGACAAACCCTGCGCAGTTCCACCTTCCTGCCTTTGCTTTATAATGTGCATTTGTTGGAGGTGTTCATTCCCAGTGTATATCAGATCCAGGCCTAGCTCATATCTTTCGTCTTCTAGTTGGATTTATGGTGCTCTCTTTGTACCCTTGCACTGTGTGCACCTTCCCACACTAGCACCTACCACTTGTGTGTGTATGTGTTTGTATGTGTGTGTGTATGTTTCAATGTTTTTGATGCTCAAAAAATGATAGGTTAGTGGAATTTTATCAAAGTTAATGTGTGCTTCAGAAAAGTAATGTAAATATTTAAATCATAATACTAAATTCATTTATACTGTGGCTGTAAAATACACGTTATTTACATTTGGGTTAGTGGTTATAAATTATTAATTACTTAGCTAGAATAATATTTACATTAGCTTACATTTACTGAAAACATATACCCAAAGAGAAACCAATAAGAAAATAACCGGAAAATAGCTTATTGATATGCAGATTATGAAGACTAACCTGTATGTTAGTTAGTACTATGTGTAAGTTAATCTCAGAATCACTGAAATTTAACACTGAGGAGACCCTTAAGATCATGTAGTCAACTCTCCTATAGGGTCAAAGAAAAAGGCGCAGAGAGACTGGGCATTCATTATACCAACAGTTGATCGAGTTGTGACTAAAACCCGTGATTTCTGACCTAGTGTATAAGTACTCTTTTTATTTTGAAGGCTTTGTTTCATTGTTTTTATTGTTGTTTGTCTTGTGAATAAAGGAGAAAATATTGCCTGACCGGGCGTGGCTCAACAGCTGAGCATCGACTTAGGATCCAAGAGATCGTGGTTCGATTCCCGGTCAGGGCACATGCCCGGGTTTCGGGCTCGATCCCCAGTAGGTGGTGTGCAGGAGGCAGCTGATCAGTGATTCTCTCATCATTGATGTTTCCATCTCTCTCTCTCCCTCTTCCTTCCTCTCTCTGAAATCAATAAAGATATATTTAAAAAATAAAGAAAAAAAATAAAGGAAAAAGTATTACTCCATTACTTCAGATGTCACAAACTCTAAGCAGCTATTTTTTTTTTGCCTCTGCCCTTAAAGTTTATTAAGTAGGTCTTGAAATATATAAAATGGTAAAAAAAATTTTTTTTGAAGTAAAGAAATTCCAGCTTAAATGCTTTTAAAAATATATACCTTCCAATATTTAACAAATTCCATATTAAAACTTCATATCAATCACATAATGCAAAGTACAAAAATAGTGTATTAAAATAATATTCAAGGGAAAAATAAGTAAAAACCTGCAAATCTTTGGAAGAGAAAAAAATTTAGAGATAATGAATTACCCTTATATTGTATAATATGCCTTCGCTCTGATCTTTAAACCAAATTCATGTGTGGGCACATAAGTGTTTCTATATAAAGTATAATTACATGAGCATAAAAATAGTAAAAAAGTGGGTTAAAGTAGCTTCTAACTGCATAACAGGTTGGGATCTATCATGTTGACAGAATGATTTTAATATTGGGCTTAAATTATTTTTGCACCTAAAAATCTATAACCTTACTATGTTGGTTTTAAAAATAAGATCTATTTGTTCAATGATTCACTTGACCCTGGGCCTATCTTCA